ATAGATAGCAAAAATATCATAAAGTTTTTCAATGCATTTGTCTCTTCTTATTTTAATCAGTGGATACGAGGAAAACGCACACTTGAAATCACTTCATTCGACCGCATTCGGCGCCTGGCACCTTTGCGCACTCCTGCAATTGTTTTCAAACTGAGTGAACAAAGTTGAGCTGACATTCACTCATCATCAGGAATCACATTTACATATCACTCACAAATATTCATTTCATCGCCCAGAAATGCACTCATAATGAAATTGTCGCAACGTTGGTAATGCGCATTACTTTAAAAAGAGTGTATGTTCTCTGAAATTGAAACGCTTCAAGCGAAAAGCATTTACGAGAAGATAGATGTCCTGATTACCTCAAAGCATTTGACGTGCATTGAATCCATCTCATGTTGCAGCCTTTAATATAAACTTGATTGGTAGCGCGAGAACACAATGTTAGTTGGCTATCACAACCTGGAACGAAAGTGAATCTTAAAATACAATTGGTACACAACAAAATTGATACCTCTGCCTCCTTTTCTGTTGGATGCGTTTTAAATGAAGTCTCTTCAGCTACTATAAGCATAAATCTGTTGTCATTAGGTTTCGTCTCCCTTCTCATTTCGGCAGGAAACCCTATTTCCAGATCTCAGTCAGAAGATTGCCGTTCATCCAATCACAATCACTATCCAATAGAACCTTACTATCCATCTAAATTTTCTAGCCGATCTGATGCGTTTATCGTTTGTGCTAAAATCACCACAGGTTGTCCATTCAACGGAATGCTTACTCTGTATATTGGCGTATGTTCCATTGTTCATAAGATAGAGCGGATGATCAGTGGAAAGCGTAACTATTTCAATGGCACGTCCTGTAACAGCAAAGATGAATGGGTTCGTTATGAGCGGTCATGAAGAAAGCTATTCCGGACGATTAGCCAGTGTTTGACATTACATGGCTGAGCGAATAAAAAGCTACAACACCACTATCCGCTCAGATGGCTAAGAAGCTGTTCACTGCCCATTCATACAAACATTCTCAGTTTTCCAACTGAAACACGCACAAAAATGCGGTCACTCCTCAAGTCGGATCTCACAAATTGAAGGAATGCTCGAAAGATCATAAATGATATTGCCCATTACTTACCGTTCCACAAAATGTCTGCATTTGCGAGGAGAACACTCATGAGAAGTAGCGCTACGAACTGCATGATAGGGGATGTCGAACAACTTGCAATGTGGCACCAGCTTCGAACCTACCTTCACGGCAATTTATGATGGAATGAAACTGACGATAAGCATTTATACGAATCAGTTATCGACGTTTCTGATGCTTTTCGTGAGCATTTCATGGAAAACGCATGCAATTTTCATCGTATCCCGAATGACCACATCCAATCTGTTAATCTGTTTTCAATTTATTAACAACCCGTAACAAAACGCATAACAATAATATTATTGTGTCAAACGTTAATTTATGCGTTCGTCATTTCGACCAATCGCAACAAAACCATCACAGATATGTGAATATGATTTTTGGTGCGTTACGGTTGCCAACAATTTTGACAAGAGAGATTTTTCTGTGGACCCTTGACGAAATGAACGTTGGATACTATAGCGCAGCGATAATCAGAGCCTGGCGAGAGTGATTTCCCACAATGGTATCACTTCAGGTATTTGTTGCCTACACAATAATGTGTTACTCAAAAGCTTTCACATCAACAATTGAGCTCCGTTCATAGCGAAGTTGTACATCAGAATACCTACACAATGTGTTGTTCACAACTGGAATTATGCGTGTTCCGATTAATTTACATACTAGGCGACAAAATGTGACTGTGGAATTGTTTATGACACCGCAACAGAATGAGACGTT